AGAACCACCACACTTCATGTTAAGGTGGTAATGATACTAAGCACCAAAACAATATAGACTATAAATGCAAAGTATTTTATATATATAATAAAAATTCAAGAAAATGAAAAAGCAATATCTACAGCGATAAATTATAGTCAACATATTTCAGGAACAGAAAGTTAGATCTCATTTTGTCAACTACACTTTCCGAAGGAAACTTTCAATAATTCCATAATCTACCCAGAGTCAATGTCCCCTAGTAGGCGTAAAAAATCAGGCAGGTCACTCAAAGAGAAATTTGCTTTAGTTAAGGGAAATAGAAAAATTTGATTAACCCACTCTGTACATTAAGAGCAAGCAACAAATTTTATTCCGTAGCTAAGAAACACCAAGAAACCACTAAACTTTGGTGGACGTTAAAGCTGGTAAGTTTGGTCAGTTTTGAGGAGGAAGGGAAGAGGAGGAAGGTGGTAAAAAAAAAAAAAATACAAGAAAACTGGGGGAAGAAAAAGAGAAGGACAGAAGTGAAGACTAGCGACAGGATGGAGAGTGGGCGTAAGTGGACTCTGAGCGCTCAGGCTAGGAACCCTCCGGGAGGGGTCAGTCTGTGGCCCCCTATTACCAGTCACCTGCTGTGTGCTGCCGGCCCAGCTGCACTAATCCTTCAGCCTTCGGAGGGAAATCTACTCCGCTCGCCAGGGTAGAACTCTATTATTCCCTGGTATAAACGCTCTGAAAGGGCAAGAACCAGAGATCTCCACAAAACCAGATCTAAATCCCCCAGCCTCCACTCTAGTTAAAACTGGTTTCTATTTCCTTTCTATGGGCTGGGTGGATTTTCCCCTTGTCCAGCCTGGTTCACACCATTCTCTAATTTGACAGATGTCTGTAGAAGGCCCACGATGTAGGGGGGTACAGCAGTGAACAAAACAGACGTGAGTGCCACCCTCACAGAGCTGTTTAATGACAAATGGGGGGGGGGGGATCACAGCAGTGCACTGGGTGTTTGCAAAAAGGGGAGGGGGGTGCACAGGCTCTCCTCTGACACTCCTGCCTCCACACTCAAATCTTTCAAGGGCAGCTCAAGTCCTAGCTAAGGAAAGGGAAGACCAAGTAAATCCAGACTGACAAGAAAATATTGAAATGTTACAGTTAAAACTCAAGCTGATTAAAAACAAAACAAAACTCTAAGTGTTCAAACTGAACACAGCATTCATTATCTGTAACCATACAGACTATAACTTCTGAAATGAATAAACAGAACATTTTTAGTAACATTTAAATAAGTTCATATAAGATGACCCAGCCTATTGTATTACAAGATCCTGAAGTACCGTTGGAATCATTAAGAAGCAAATCACGTTTATTGTGTTCTACTGTTAAGCATGTTTCTTGTACTTTGAATATTGGTATCTCATGTTAGGAATCATGTCCTAACATGTGGCCTACGATACAACTCTATAAAATGCCTCTATAATCGAACAAGTTTGGGAAATGCTGCACACTCTAAACACCATTCGGAGATTCACAGTGTATTTTAGGAAATGAAGTTTTCTGACAAATCCTGCAAAGAAGAAATCTGCGGAACTCAGTCTGAGCCAGTATTTTCCAAACTTATTTTGACATGGCCCCCTTTTTCATTTAATACTTATTAACAGTCAACAAGATGCTTCAGGGAACACACGCGGGATATACTACGATGTAGGGGGACACACAACTTAATTAGTCTGAAAATGCAATTATCAATCTCCCAAGCATTTTGATGAACTAGTGTTTTCTATACATACTATTAAAATACAAAAATTTCCCCAATGAATTTCTTTTTGAAATCCACTCAGTGATATGCTGATTTACTGTATTTTTAAGAAGAAATTTTTTTTAACATTTTATTTATTTGAGAGAGAGAGCACGAACGGGCAGGGGCAGAGGGAGCAGCAGACTCCCCCCTGAGCAGGGAGCTCTCTGTGGGGCTAAATCCGAGGACCCTGGGATCATGACCTAATCCCAAGGCAGATGCTTAACTGACTGAGCCACCCAGGTGCCCCAAGAAGAAATAATTTTTAATAAACTAAAATTGGATCTTGGTATGTTAACATAAAGGAATTCAAATTAATTGTATAATTTGATTTTGCTAAATCCTTGGAAGTTTATCTTCTCTAAACATGTATTTTTAGATTTCTAGAATGTATTTGATAATTTTAAAAGATGCATTCCCTTGGAGCGCCTGGCTGGCTCAGTTGGTGGGGCATGCAGCTCTTGATCTTGAGGTTGTGAGCTGGAGCCCCACACTGGGTGTACAGATTACTTAAAAATAAAATCTTTAAAGGGCGCCTGGGTGGCTCAGTCATTAAGCGTCTGCCTTCGGCTCAGGTCATGATCCCAGGCTCCTGGGATCAGCCCCGCATCCCATCGGGCTCTCTGCGTCCCATCGGGCTCTCTGCTTGGCAGGAGGCCTGCTTCTCCCTCTCCCACTTCCCCCTGCTTGTGTTCCCTCTCTCCCTGTCTCTCTCTCTGTCAAATAAATAAATAAAATCTTTAAAAAAATAAATTAAATAGGGGCGCCTGGGTGGCTCAGTCGTTAAGCGTCTGCCTTCGGCTCAGGTCATGATCCCAGGGTCTTGGGATCCAGCCCCACATCGGGCTCCCTGCTCCGCGGGAAGCCTGCTTCGCTTCTCCCTCTCCCACTCCTCCTGCTTGTGTTCCCTCTCTCACTGTGTCTCTCTCTGTCAAATAAATAAATAAATAAAATCTTTAAAAAAAATAAATTAAATAAAATAAAATCTTTATTAAAAAAAACAAAGAAGAAAGAAAAGGGCGCCGGGGTGGCTCAGTCGGTTGAGCGTCTGCCTTCAGCTCAGGTCATGATCCTGGGGTCCAGGGATCTAGTCCCACATTGGGCTCCCTGTTTCTCCCTCTATCGCTCACCCCTCTCTCATTCTCTCTCTCTCAAATAAATAAAATCTTAAAAAAAAATAAAAATGAAAATAAAAGATTCCTTCCCTTAAAGAAAAACTAAAAAACATGCTTGATATTTACCTCTGCCTTATTAGCTGAAATGCCTACATACAAATATCTGTAACTGAGATGTGGTATCAACATGTACAGTTTGTGACTAACAAGCATTTCTGTGGTTGTGGTGTTGTTATTTATAATTTGACTTCTCCTCTAGAAATACTAATATTACCTTAAAGCCTATATTGGAGGTTTTATGGAATAAAATTCCAGTGAGTGGAAAGTTCCATCATTCAGTTAGCAATAAAGAGCTAAATTCAGCAAACATTTATTTAGGAGCTACTGTACGCATGCCGAAGGATTAGGCACTGTAAATGATGAATGTCTTTTTCTGGGCCCCAACTCAAAACAACGGTCTGACAATGGGACAGAATATGTAAGACTCTTAAAAACTCAGGGGTCCTACAGACACTGTGGATAGCAGAAGAACAAGCTGCTGCACTGGAGATACTTACAAGACACAGGTGAATTTCAGGACACCTGTACCACCACAAAAAGGCAAAACACAGGGCCTCTTTCTAAAACACCTAATCTGGTGACCTAAAAGTTCATTATTAGTTAATGCAAGAAAACCAATATTAGATGTGGGTCAAAAACTTGAAAGCTGTTAATAATTCCATATTTAACTTCACAGGTGTAATGCTTTTCTTAAGCCAATTAGGCGGGCTTAACGTCTAAGCACTACACTGACATTAGGAGTAGCTTGCCTTCACAGTCTAAAACTTCCATCACAGGTTTCTTCAAGAATCTATAGAGGGAATCCAACTTCTGATAATCAAAACAAAGTTAGATTTTTCACCTAGGGTATTGGAGGGGTGGGGAAGTCACTTCATCTAGGTTATGCAACACTGAAAAGGACTTTTCACTTTCATATAGAAAAAAGCGTCATGGACGACTGCTAGAAATTTAACACAGAAAGTGAACAAACGGTATCAGACTTGGGAGGTCTAGCAAGCCCCAGTAAGCCAGAAAATCCAAACAACTTCTCAAATGACTTTTTAAAAAGCAGCAGCAATGAGAGGGATGATCAACGATCTGAGGCCATGCACACCAGAAATTTTTTCCTAGTTTAATAAAACATAAACGCATGAGATCAGCTCTACAATTTCAAATCAGAGAACTGGAAAGCTGTTGCTGTGTGCCTTAATGAACATTCCCCCCCCGCCCCCTTTTTTTTTTCCATTATCTTTCCTTTAGGAAATCTTAACGAAGACTAAGCGCAGAAACTTTGACAAAACATAAGCCAAGGCGATGCGCGCTGGAGAAGACACATAATTGTGAAAAGCACTCACAAAATGTCCCAGTGGGACTCCTTAATAAAAAATTAACTTTGTTCTGCTGAATGCTTCAAAAATCGCGTTTCTGATAGTATTTTCTCATTACACATGCTTTAAATACAACACGTATGGTAATAACCGTGAACGTCAAATACACGTGCAATGAAGCAGAGCTGATGGTGCTTCAGATTACGTTTTAATAGTCCCGGAGACACCGGGAAATTGCAACTGCATGCATGTGCAAAGCTGACAGAGGGAAAACAAAACAGGGTGGTAAGATCCAGCGCCGCCGCGGCTTCCCGGGGCTAGCCGCCCATCCCTCTCCATCACGAGAACCCAAAGAACAAAGTTCACGCTGATTTAACGTCTCAGGGGCGCGCCACAATATCCTGGGGGTTCCCCGCTCTTGTGTAGGGAAAGGACTCGAGCGCCCGGGGCAAGTCCACAGCGGGCCCCACCATCCGAGACGTCGGATGGGTCCCGGGAACCGACGCCGCGGCTCGGAGGGCGTCCTGCTCGCAACCCCACCGGGGGGGTCCGAGGACGCGCGGCTCGGGCTTCCTTCGGGCCGCTGCCCAGGCAAGCGGGCGCTGGCGCCCAAAGTCGCCCAAAGCCGGACGAGAGGGGACCGCCGCCCGGGAGGGAGCCCCGCCCGACCCCTGCGGGAAAGTTGCCGCCCGGCCCGAGTTTCGCCGCGGACCGCGAACCGCAAGCCCCGGCGCCCCTTACCTTCCTGCCGCTGCCGTCGCGAGGCTCGGACTCCGCGAGGCCGGCGCCGCGGGCCCCGGGCGAGGCGGTGGTCTTCTGGCCGGGTGGGAGGCGCGGCCCGGCGGGCGGCGGCGGCGCGGCGGCGCCCGGCGCGTCCTCGGCCTCCTTGCCGCCGTGGTACACCGCCCGGCCCTCGGAAATGTGGATGCTCGGGGCGCAGCCCATGCTGGCGGCGGCGCGGCGGACACGCTGGCGGGCAGCCGCGATCCGGTCAGCAAACGGCCCGCCCGGCGCCTCGGGGCCGCCGCGGGCGCCGTGTCATCGCCGCCTGGGCGGGCGGCGGTGGCGAGCGCGGGTCTCGCGTCAGGAAGTGCGGCCGCCCCTTTTATCGCGGTGCGGGCGCGGCGGCGGCGGCGGCGGCGGCGCTGGGGAGGGGGCGCTGGGGCGGGCGGCGCGCCGCGGCCGCCCCTCCGAACATGCCCTTCCTGAGGCGGGAGCCGCCGGCCGCCTCCCTCACATCGCCGCGCTCGCCTGGCCGCGCCGCGCTTCCGGGGAATTTCGGGGGAGGAGATTTGCGCTCTCCCAACCCGGGAGCGGGCAAGTCCGCGCCGCGCGAGCGACACCGCCCTGGCCGCGGGGCGGCGCGACCCCCGGGGGAGGTGCGCTCCCCGCCGCGCCCGCCGCCGCCTCCCCGGGCCCGCAGCCCGCGCCGCTCCGCCTGCTGGGCCGCCGCCCCGCGAAGAAACGCCCCTGGCTCAAGCGCCGGCGGCGGGGAAGATTGGCCCAGACGCTCCTGCTGCTGAGGGCTAGGGGTCGAAGGACGCCCGTCAGGGCGGCGAGGACGCGGCCCGCGGGGTGGGGAAGGAGCCGTCGGCTCAGGCTGGGTCTGGGGCCGCGCCGTCGAGAAACGCAGAAGCGGCTGCGCTCACCGGGGAGCTGCCGGCGGCGCGGCTCCGGCTCCGGGCTCCGGGCCGGGTCTTGCCGGCAGCACGCCGCGCCCAGCCCCCAGCGGTGACCTCCAGCGGGTGCTGGCGTCAATGCAAAGCAGCTGGGGCGCCCGCCGCCACCTCCCGGCGCCGCCGAAGACTGGGCATGCGCGGCCACGACGGGAGGGGGCGCGCGGCCCCGCTGCCGGCAGGACGGAATGGACTCGCCCAGGGACACACAGCCACCGCGGGCCTGAGGCCACAAAAATCCGGACCGCTGGGTTCGAATCCCGGCTCCGTAATTTAGCAGCTGCGTGACTTGGGTCAGGTCACTATCGCTGAGCCTTAGACCTCTCATTCATTAATAAGGCCGACGGACCTCCGTTTGGGGGCAGGGCAAGGAAGGCGCCCGCCCTCCGGGTCCCAGGCGGGTGGGGTCCGGGCGTTATCGCCCGGGCCGCAGTGCCCCGTGCGCTCCACGACCTGGAACGCCAACGCCAGGCTGCCCAGGCGACCCCGCGGCGGCGGCGCTGAAAAGCCCCGTTTCGAGGCAGGCGGGGGGCGCTGTCCTCTCACCTGGCGCTGGCGCCCGGGACCCAAAAGCACCTTGCTTGCGGGCACAACGCGGCGTCCGACATGCAAAGTGGGGCCTGTGAGCCAGGCGCGCTGTCAGAACCGCAACACACACACACACACACACACACCACACACCACACACCAGCTCGCTGTGCGACCTTGGACGAGTCACGTAACCTCTCTGTGCCTGAGGCTCCAGCCCCAGTCAGAGGGAGGACGACGCCCCTGGGTGTCCATCGCATACTCCGCGAGCGGCCCACCTCCGGCCCGCTCCCACTCCCGCCCTTCTTGCGACTCCCGGTCCGGGGAGACCCCGGCAAGGCCGATCCCCTCCTTTCCTCTCCAGCGGTCCACACCTTTCCTAACGCGGCCCTGCAGCGACCCTGAGATGCCGCCGCTTGCGCCTCGGGCCGGTTACCGTGAAGCCCCGGAGGCGTACTCCGGACTGGAGTCCCTGCCCTGGCGCTGGGGCTGCGGCACCTGCTCAGGTGCTGGTTCCCTTGCGCGGCCCGAGCGCCAGGACGCCAGGGAACTCAAAATCCGCAGCCCTGGCGCCCCTCCAGCCGCAATCTTCCGGGCCCGAGGTGCCCACCGGGCGGTTTCCCGACGGCGGCGGAGCAGAAAGGCAGGGTAACCCGAGAGCGGCTTGGAGCTATTGGCCCTCTTTACTGGCCGAGCTGGCCCAAACCACTAGCACGTGACTCTACTATCAAGTTTAAGCACGTTAAGCAGTAATTATATTTAAGCCTCCCTACCTTATAAAAGTACCACCGGCTCAATGAAGATGTCTTGAAAGACACAGGAAAAGATTCTTATTATCACCCGTTATTCCACCTAAATTGTAGAGTGTTTACTGCCTTTGTTCTGCAGATTTTAGAAGGTAATTTTCAGAGCAGAATCTGGACCCTTCTAAATAAAGAGTTATTCATGAAGAAAACGCTTTGAACCACCAGAGTGCATGAAAGTCTATCGCGTGTCCTCTGTCCTCCGCGCCTGGCCAAGAAGTCAGGCCTTGATGACTCTGGGCACTGACCTTGTCTTCTCCAGCTCCAGGCTGTTCCAACCCGTACTGGTTCCTCCCTTCACAGGCAGCACCTCGGTGTCCTGGCCTTTCCTCGGAAATCCTTGAGCCCTGAGCTAATTAGGGGGGGTGGGGTTGCTTTTCCCTGCCCCCCACCCTCCGGGCTCCCTGAGCTGCCTGTGGCCTTGGCAAGATGGTCATTTACCCTCTCTGTTCCCAGAGACCTGTTGGGGAGCAGCGTTCACTGATTTCCAGCTCTGCAGTTTGGAGGCCCTAGACTTAGAGACCCTAAAGCTAAAAAAAAAAAGGATGCAGGAGCAGACAGGAAAGGAGTCATCTGCCTACTTCTGGGGTCACAGAGAACAAACCCCACTCACTTTTTTCCACACCCAGGAACTCAGCCTGGGATGTCCAGGAAGTCACAACCCGCCCCCCTCAGCTTCAAGCCCCTAACATCAATTCCACCCTGCCCCCACTTTCCCCAGCCATAACCACTCTGAGGTCCCTGAACACTTCACCCTATGAAACCCATCCCCCCAGTCCTCGGTGACAGTGGACAGAAATGGGACATGTCGACAGAAGTAACCCAAACTTCACTGGCATGTGTCACCCACTAGTTCACCCAGGCCTCCCAGGGCCCTAGAAAGAATCCCACTGCTTGGAGGTGTCTAAGGAGCTCATGAGCAATCCCCATCCTGCTGGAGGAGACACGCTCCCCACCATGCCAGGCATGTAGACACCTCAAAGCTCTGCTTGCAGTAGAATACACTCCACCACCACGCCCAATCCATTCCACCCAGTGTGCCCCACCCCACTCCAGGCAGAGCTGCTGGACCCCCACAAGGCTTAGCATTGTAGCTAAGTGTCTACTTCGGTTCTTACTCCTAGGGTCAGCATAAGGTCAGTGGGGCTTGGAAAGGAGACAAACCAAGGGGTAGATGCCCCGGCCCAGCCTCTCCCACTACCACAATCAGTCCCAGGAGACCCCATAGTGCTTCCCCGCCCCCACACCTCCGTGGCAGGCTGTCCGTTAGAGGCATGAGGGCGTGGTTCCTACACAGCTTTGTTTAACATCAGAATCTACTCGGTTTCCACACCTCTTCCACTAAAGCTGATCCTTCCTAAGCCAGTTCTCTTTCCTGGTTTTGCTGCCTTTTGCACCCAGGGGTCAGCCATTCAGACTGTGCCCAGGCCACCGAGTTCCCTACTCCTCCCCTCCCTCGCCTTCCCCACTGAAAGGGGCTGGAAGCAGTGCAAGTGGGAGAACGCCTGTGCCCTGGGGTCTGAATCCCAGAGCATCCCTAGGTCGTCTTTCAGGGCTGCTTTCCTCCGTTGTGAATCCAGGATTCGTGATACCTACCTCAGTGGGATTAAAGACGCTAACCAATGTCAAATGCCCAGCTACTAAGCCGTGGTGCCTTCCTTAGCTCACCGCCTTCTCCCAGGCCCATTCAACATCACCTTCCTCCAGGCCTACCCCAGCCTGCTGGAAACCTTTGGAGACACGAAATCACCATGAGGATCAACACCCCTACAAATCTGTGCATCAGACTTCATCACGTTAATTTCTCTTTCAAAACTTTGTATCATGTGACCTTAAAAAATGTCATTTTAAAATTACACATTCTATAATTTACACATGAATACATGCTGGGAAAATAGTTTTTAAAAAATCAAATGAAGCAGGAGTATATAAAGTGTGCAAAGGCAGAGGAAAGTCTCTCTTTCTCCCCCACCCCCCTTCCTTCCTTCCTTCCATCCCTATTGCTAACAGTGTGGACCATATGCTTCCAGATCTACACACACACACACACACACACACACACACACACACACACACACACGAGGCAGAGCTGTTACAGTGTCACAAACAGAGCTGCAGTAAATATCCTTGAATATATCTTTTTCTGTAGGATGGACTCCTAGAAGTTGAATTGCTTGGTCAAAAAGTATGTCCCACCCTATGCCAGCTCCAGAAGGGATGAAACACAGAAAGAGGGGCGCCTGGGTGGCTCAGTCGGTTAAGCCTCTGCCTTCGGCTCAGGTCATGATCCCAGGGTCCTGGGATCCAGCTCCACATGGAGGGGGGGCGGTCCCTGCTCAGCGGGCAGCCTGCTTCTCCCTCTTCCCCTACCCCTTCCCCGGCTCATGCTCACTCTTGCCCTCTCTCTCTCTCTCAAATAAATAAATAAAATCTTAAAAAAAAGATTTTATCGGGGCGCCTGAGTGGCTCAGATGGTTAAGCATCTGCCTTTGGCTCAGGTCGTGATCCCAAGGTCCTGGAATCGAGCCCCACCTCGGGCTCCCTGCTCAGTGGGGAGCCTGCTTCTCCCTCTGCCTCTCTCTCTCTCTCTCTCTCTCTCCCTGACTCTCGTGAATAAATAAATAAAACATTAAAAAAAAAGATTTTATTTATTTATTTGACAGAGACAGACACAGCGAGAGAGGGAACGCCAGCGGGGAGAGTGGGAGAGGGAGAAGCAGGCTTCCCACTGAGCAGGGAGCCGGATGTGGGGCTCCATCCCAGGACCCTGAGATCATGACCTGAGCCGAAGGCAGATGCTTAACGACTGAGCCACCCAGGCGCCCCAATAAATAAAATCTTTAAAAAGAAAAAAGAGAAAAGAAAGGAAAAGAAAAGAAAAAAAAAACCATATAGCCCAGCCAGGGAAGAAAGATTGAACAGAGGAACTCCCTGGATACCACCTGTGACCCTGGATAAGGGCGGCACCCAGCCAGCCCCAGATGCCAGGGCTCTCCTG